TTGTAATGGACGGTTCTCCTGTAGATCTGAAAAATGACTTGACCGGAGAAATTGTATCCGATGGTCACCGCGGTGACCTGGCTGATGKGCGTTCAAATTCGATAACAAACATCGCCAAACATTTGGGTTCGGATAGCGATGAAATTGATATTGGATTACTGTCTTCCACCTTGATACAGGAACCGGATATAATTGACTCATGCCGGTCCGCGGACGAGTTGATGCCAAATACGGCTTTTCCGGTCGAGGAGTTAAGTGAACCTAGAACTGTAGAAATTCCAGATATCGAGGTGCAACAGTCCTCAAGCTGTGATTTGATGCCAAATCCCTATATCAATGAGGTATTTGTTATATTATATTATATTAAATATATACAAATTTTGTATTTATAAATATACGCTATTTTTCCGCAGGAACCCATAATTCAGAGATCCGATGATGAGAACTCAATAACCACTGTGGCCAAGCCAAAGTGCCGTTCTGCTTGGAAAAAGACCAAGCGTTTTTTCCGAAAATTGTTTTGTTGTGGTGATGTCAAGGTCCGGCGTTCTAGTTCTGGCATACTCGTCGAGCCGACGAATTCCGTGGGTGAAAAAATAGATTTCGGTTCGCTACCAGTCATGGAGGAACCGATATTAACGGATTCACCCCAATTTGCTGAGGATTTTTTGCAGCAAACGACCTTGAAAGTAGAGGAGTTCAACGACCCGATTGAAACTAACGTTCAACAGTCTGACTGTGAACCTATAGACCCACAAACGACTTTACAAGTAGAAGAGATCAGTGACCCGGTCGAAACAGACGTGCAACAGTTCCGCTGTGACCTTAAAGGTCAACCGTACGAGTGTTTTATTCCAATGTTGATTCCCAATGTGGAAACGGATTCCGTGGGTGATAAAGTCGATATCGATTTGACTCCAAACACACACGAACAGATATTGATGGATCCACCCCGGTGTGCAGATGAATTACAGCAGCAAGCGTCTTTGCCGGTCGAAGAAATCAGTGGCCCGGTTGGAACAGACGTGAAAAACTCCAGCTGTGATCCTGTGGTTTCGTTGTCAGGTAWAGTAACCCCCGAAGCTAAGCCCAAACGCCGCACACTGTGGAAACGCTTATTTAGTTGTGTTTTTTAAATATATTCGACTATAACCATATCTTACAAATTTTAAATTAATAAATTTTTTAGTTAAGGTTTTAAAAGATCGTCAACGCATTTATTTTTATCTGAAGGTCCAAAACGCAACATGAAACATTATATGTTTACAATAATGATTGATGAATCATTATTGTAAACATATAATGTTCCATGTTGCGTTTTGGACCTTCAGATAAAAATTAATGCGCCAACATCGACCACAATATTCATATTTTAATTTATTATTTGTTATCCATACTATTGATTTTATAATATACAAATAAATTGGATCCCGGAAGTTTTTGGTGATTAAAATCTGCCATCTTCAATATCAAACCTATCGGATGACAGGCATAATTTTAATCAACAAAATTCTTATGATCCAACTTATTTGTATATTATAAAATCAATGGTTATACGTAACTGTTCAACGTCGAATTGGTTTTCGTCAATGTCTGCTTAGTGTAACAAACCCAATAATCTGTCATTCGTGTTATATTTTTTTAACATTCAACGGTTTTTACATTGTTATACAATATACAGGAAAACCAGTAACTGATAAAACGATACAATATGTA